ATATATATATATATATATATATATATATATATATGCCAAAACAGAATTTTTTCAATCATGTTTCATTAGAGAATAACGAAATTTTAGTAATGGAAAAAGTTTTCAGTATTTGGATATGGTACGTGCAATGGATGGCTATAATAAGATTGTTTTCCCGCACTGCAACTGTGATAGTTATAAGAATGGTGACATTATATTGGCTACTGACTTTTCAAAACTGACTGTACAAGCATGTGATTACGAGGGTAAAACACAGGTTTGGCTACGAATTCAATTAAATTTCACTATTTAAGCATTCTTATTTGTATTTGATTTGTCATGAGTTCAAGAGTTACAATTTGTAGTGAAACTTTGTCATAGAAATTATGTTTGTAATGCAGCTGGAAAGAAACATTTCACATTTTAAGACTGTTTAGGATGATGTTCTCATATTTGACTGGTCCGACATTTTGACATATGAAATTGTTGATAATGGTGCTGCATTTACATTTAAATATTCTCGACCAGGAAAGAAGTCCAAAACAGTCAAATTTAATACTCAGTTTGTAAGTTGGTACTGTTGCTAATTACACAATATATATCTTCATTTGTTATCATATTTAGTTATAAAGTCATTGTTTTCAAAATTATTCTATTATCAGAATTTTGAAGTTTTTGATTCGAAAATGTTCTGTAAAAAGATTATCATATATTTACTGGAAATTGGTAGTTCGTACAAATTTATTGAAATTTATTGTAATATTATAAATCAACTATTGTTGATTTATAATATTACAATAAATTTCCAGTAAATATATGATTTTAAATCAACTATTATAAATCAAAAATTTATTGTAATAATATATAATCAACTATAGAATTATATTTAGTTTTGTATATATATTATTTTGCAGGCTGTGTATATGAATTTTTGTTTTTCGCGAATATTAGAAGAACATCGGAGGCATTCTGAAGTAAATTTCACGAAAAATAAAGACTAATTGTGGAAAAGCAAAAGCTATGTCATTATAGGAATCTTCATTTTATAATTAGCTTACAACCAGTTTGTTTCGGTAAAAGCGTTTATAAATGAATATATTTCAATCACACTTTTATTTTTGGCTTTGTTTTGTTTATAGAAAATCTATAGATGAGCTTGATGGATTGAAGTACAATTTGCACAAGAAATCTGTGAAAAGTTGATAAGAACATCGAAAAAACCAAAAACAAAATTTCCATGAAATTTCCTGCATGAGTATAGTTGATTTTACAACCTTTTTACAACTTTTAACTTTTCCAATTAGAAATATAGCTGTTTTTACTGTGTTGTTTTAATATTTTCTTTTTTCATGTCAACTGCTCAGCTGAGCACTTGTTGTTGATTGATTATTTCGTACCACATTGCATTTCCGGCTAATGAATAATTTAATTGCTAATAAATCGGAAATATATGAACTTTAAAAGCAAAAGTACTTGAAATTTGGAAAACAAATTAGTGAGTGATGCGTTAGTAAGTTATCGAAATATTATTGGTCTTTCTTTTAATTTCAAATTTCTTTGCATAATTTGGTTGTCAGAACTGTAGTTCTTGTCACAAAGTTGGATGAAACTTATTCACAATTTTCTTTGTATTTTATGCTTAATGTGTACTCTGAATTTTTTGTATGTACCTGAGATTGACGGCCAATTTTAGGTCAGGTTGCGTTGAGACGTCATAATGGTTATCCGAACTGTTGTTCGTTTTTGCATTTTCAATATATCGGTATTTTTTGATTTGGAAGCTTTAGTTATATGTTATTATTTTTCAATGGAACGTTATGTTAAGTATTTGGTGATCATTGATATTACTTGCGTTTAGGAATTTTATGCTGTGCATAATATTAATTTGCATTTGTAGATGATCTTAAAGTATGATTTTAAAAATCTGCCTTTTTTAACTTTTAATATATTTATTTATACATATATATGTGTTTTTTCCTCGTTAGAACAGACGTTTCCTGTTTTCCTATTTAAATCAATACGGTAATTTTGTGTGCAAGTTTCGGCTTGTCTAATTTTATGTCATTTTAATTTCATTTTATACTGCATTATAATCTCACTATTTAAAATTAAGCTATTGAAACTTTTAAAGTTTCATATTTGTTTGTTTCATGTGTCGTGGACATTTTTTCTTTTCAGTAGGATATTCTTTCTAAAGACTTTAGTTCTTTCACGTCATCTTAGCAATTTTGTTCTATGCTACATGGTGATAATATTTATTCACTGGTTATTTTGTGATATTTTTCCATAAGCTGTATTTTGTTACTATTTGAATTGCTATTTCTAAACATTCATTTCTCAAAAAATAGTCACGTAATTTGTCATGATGAGATGTAGAGCATGCTTTCAGTTTACATTATTATTTAATTCATGATTAGCAGAGACTGTCTGAAAGCTAGGCAAGAAATACTGCTTGTTCTAGAAATTGTATCTTTGACAGATTGTGTAAGCTCGAAAAAATGGTTGGTTGCCAAATGTAATGAATTACTCGCTGAATAAAGATATGTATTTGGTCATTCATTCATTTATGTCATCAAATAAATCTTTTCATAAACATAAGTGTCTTCAAGTCAACAGGCTTGTTTTTCTTGGGTATGTGTTTCTGGAGTTATTTAGAACTATTAAAGCAAAAATATTTTAGGATTCATTGCTGAAGGATTACTCGCGAGATGGGATATGGTTTGTTGCTTGTGGAGTGTGGTAAGAGTAGCGTGGTGTTTTGTGGTTTTAAATAATGGAATTTTAGGGAAATGAACAAGCAGTACATCTAAATGTCTGCTGATGAGTTATTCACATCTCAAACACGGCAGTACCGACTGTGTAATTTAGAACTCTCAGATGACGGTTCTTCTTCCGTAGTTAGTGAATCAGAACCTGAAAAACGGCAAAGTATCATATTTTACTTTTTTTGCGTATACAAGAATTTAAATTTAGTGTTTTTCTGAAACTAAATATTGCTTGGCAAATAGTATTGCGTATAAAGCTATTAATATTTCCTTATCAAATATGAGCCTTTTTCGTTATGATGGAATGTAAAGAATTGGCTGTTATTTGGAATTTGCTATTATCTAAAGAATTGACAACATTAATAGTATTAATTGGTATCGTAAGTTATGAAGCAGTGAAATTCTTTTTAGTTTCTTGAGTTTTAATGATTGACAGGATGTTGTTGATGAGTAGATAGTATGGTTCTAGTAATAGTTTTGACGTTTTAAGTCGTACATCAATATTGTTTAGTACGCTCATATATGAGTATTTTTTCTATAAGTATAGTATGAACTGATGTATAAAAGTATTTGCAATTTTTAAAAAAGTGAGTTTTTAGGAATGTTTTTATAAATTTACAAACCTGTAATTAATGATTTTTAAATATTTCATGCTGTCGACGACAGCGAAGAATAAGCAATAAACTGCGGAAAAGGTCATCAAAAACACCAACAAAAAACAATAGTATGTTGTGTGTTGGTAGTAATGGAGCACAACAGCGATCACATAATTCACCTTTACCAACTTATCCAGTAAGCATACGGCAGCAGCTGGCTATAATAAAACAGGTTTAATTTAAGTATTTTTTTAAAACGAATATTACTGTAATTGTAAACTACAAAAAAATCGTATAGAGAAATTTCCTACATCATTTTGAAGAATAAAGAATGTTGAAGTGTTGTTAGTTTTAAGCTAATGGTATTTTTGAGCCGAAATTGTCTACTTATATGCGTATTGTTATTGTGAAGAAAGTCTCTGGCAGTACTCATTTTCTGTTCTTTCATTTGTTTTTACTTTATTCCTCCTTTCTGCATTGAATAGATTTAATAATATCATTGAACTATTGTATTAATGGATAAAAGCATTAATTGGCGATATATTAATGAGCTTATCTGCTTTTAAATCTGAATAATTAATTGAAAATTGATGTCTGAATACTTTTCACTGTTTTCTGGAAGATTTTCCTGGCTAAAGCTGCAATCGATTCTAACAAACTACCCATTAGCAGTTAGCTAATTATTATTGCAAATGATTGAATCATCAGTTACGCAAATAATACTGTTCAGCGTAAAAGCGTGCTATAACTCAAACTTATTGCAGGACAAGTTTGTTATCATAAATAAACAACATTGACAAGTACAAAAAGTGTATTATTATATTAGCCGCTGTTCGCTACTCACTCGCTCATTATTCATTCATTGTGTTCACTCTTCTAGCATTTGTTTTGTTAGCATTCTGCTGGCCAATCTAATCAATGCTACTACTTTAATGTTTTACATTTTTCATTCCATTCCTCTATTACTTTGCTGTCAGTTTTTTATAGCAATTACACATTTTATTCGTAATTCCAGTAATCATCCCATCCTTTAAGGGCAATCAATTATTGCATGATTCCTGATTCCTCCCTGACCTTTCAATTTTCTATATCTTGCTATCTTGTATCTTATCACTCACTCATGTTGAGTACAGTTTTTTCCTCCTTACAAATGAGGTTACAATATTTTTCTCAAACCATCTATGGAATTCACCATTTATAGTAGGTGACAATTGAGGATATGATTGTAAGTACATACAGTCGTTCTATCTTCATTCTTCATCCTGTATGTATCAAATTTTGCAAATTCAAGCATAGAAGCATAAAACATATTAATGAATAAGGTATATCAGGCATTTATTTTATTCACATTGAAGAAGCAATTAGTTGCTATCAATTATCATATGTCTTTTCTAAACATTCATGAGATGCTTAACAGTGAAATATAGAGATCTGAGAGATAACAGTTTTTCTGCAGTGCATTATTTAGTACATATTCATCTCCTTATTTGTTACAGCTGAAATGCTGGCACTTAATTGTTATAGTTACGTTTAAGTTTTCATTAGCTTATTGATTATTAATCGGTATATCACTGATTAATGAAATGTGCTATCACCGAAGTGATCAGTAAGTGATATTATTGGAAATAATCCTCATTCAGCGATTTATCATCGGAGAGTGACTCATATTTGCCTTGATTATTGTCTGGCAATAGCAAATAAAGACTGCATATATCTATATTATTTCATTCTCAGTAATATCACTTACTGATAACTTTACTGATTAAGTCATATATGTCAAAATTTTAAATGCAAGATATTCAGTCAGAGACGCAAAAAATAGCAGCAATAATTTGCTGCATTTATTTGTTCTTATCTAAGTATCTGCATATCACTGTGTTTACTAAATGTTAGATATCATATATCGCAGTGATATTTTTGCTTTGTCATTCATTATATCTGCAGTCAGTTCTTCTGAATTATTAGTTTATCCGTTTATTGATTTGATTTGAATTAATGAGTCAGCTATAAATTTCAAAAGCATTTATACTTGAAATTTTTTCTTCAGTAAATACTTGAAAGCTATAATTTCTGTTCATACAGTTCACTTTTTAATCAATTTATTAATGTTTGCGTTTGATTTGTCTAATAGTTATTGCTAATTCCTTTCTGAGGGATAATTTGCTGTTGATCTATCACTTTCTTCCGCTCTCGTTTCAAACATTTCAGTATCCCAAATTTTAACTAACTCTGATAACTGATTAACTGTTGCTGTAAAAAGCATAATTACCTAGAAATAATTATCTAACTTTTAGATTGCTATTCGTGAGGTTTCTGTCAATTTCGTACATTCTTAATTACATGTCTGCTCAATGTTTTAGATGGAGCAACCATTACAAGGAACAACAGATATGACTTCATCAAATACACAGTCATCTCGTACTAGTAGTGCATCACCATGCTCATCCAGAAAGCGAGTATCAAAGGTTAATTTAATGATTACGTTTTCAAAAGTTATGGTTTGATTTGATCATAATAACTTTATCAGATTAAAAAAAAAACTAATTTTAAGGTTCATAAAAAAAATGAACGTGGAGAAACAGCGTTACATGTAGCTGCTCGTAGAGGAGAACATCGACTTTGCAAAAAGTTGATTCATGAGGGTGCTGTTGTGAATGCTCGTGATTATGCTGGATGGACTGCTTTGCATGAGGCATGTTATCATGGACATTTTAAAGTTGCTAGGATTCTTCTCAGGTACTTTTTCTTCTATTATATTTTTTGTTAATGTTAATGATTGATTTTTTGAGTTTGAAAGTTTTATAAATGTCGCCAGTACTTTTAGAAGCAAAAATTTGCTTTCAGTTATGAAGCAGATGTTAATGCGTCATCGAATTGTGATGATACACCTTTGCATGATGCTGTTACCAGTGGTAACGAAAAAGTTAGTTTAAAAAGTTGATGCTTTTTGTAGGAAAAAAAATTGATTATAATGTTAAAAGGAATGTTGTTTACATTTAAAAGTATTAAGTTATTTTATTCTTTTGCATAAAAAATTCATCAATAGCTGGTTTGGTTATTGTTACGGATGGGTGCAGTTCGTGATCGTGTTGATAATGAGGGAAAACGACCGATTGATATTTGCCATCCTGAGCATGTTGGAATTAAAAATCTTCTCTCTGCGACTACCATTCCAGAATTTTTTCCAGTCGAAAAGTCACCTTCTTCAAGTCCATCCGCTTCAAGTCATTCGGTAGCAAAATCTTAAACAATTTTTTTACTTACTGGTTATTTTTGGAAGTTGTTTTGCAAATTCAAATTCAAATGGGCACAAATTAGAGATGAATGGGCATTTTGATGGAACGGACGTGTGCAAAATAAGCAGCTAACGTGATCAAAAATTTTGTTACAAACTTCATTTGTTTGGTAGCAAGTGTAAAAATATAAATGAATATTAGTGAAAATAAAATACTGTCATTGAATTTTAAGTAGGTATCACTCTTATTTCATCGTTTCGGGAAAAGAATTCGATTATTTGTGTCGTAGATTAGATTTAAGCAAATAGAAAAACGTAGTGGTTTGTGGAAAAAATCATATTTGTAAAACCATATGCATATAAAAAATACCCCTCTAAGAAAACTTGAATTGATCATCCACATAGCATGAATTATTTAAACTGGATTATTTGCAGCTGCTAACAATTAATATATCACAGTTGGGTTCAGACAAGCAGTGTGCAATATCACCTCATAGTAGTGGTTCTCTCCCTAGCGCAGACACTTTGTTGAGAGAGGGAAATGCAGAAAATCGTAGTGAATTGGGATTGATTGAACAAGGTTATAATTAGAATTGTTGTGTTCTGTCTGTTATCTTTCACAAAGCAATGTATCTCTGCAAGCTTTAGTTTTTACCGCTCAATAAATTTCTGAAATCGCTTTTCTATAACTCTAGGCGCAAAGGTACTCTCAGATAATAGTTTAGAGAAATGTTGCTGACTCTGAGTACTTTCTAGCTAGTACAGTGCTAGCTATCATCACTGTATTCTATGCTCTTTTAAATTGTTCTTTTCTATATTTCTAAAATGTGAAATAAATGCTGTTTTGAAGCTTTGATTTATTATTAGGTAAAGATCTTTGCTTTTTACTCATTAGGTGAACTTTTTTAGGACCGTGTGAGCAAGCTTTAGATGATTATGTGGATGGTGATGCAAAAACGAAGGTTTTTATAACAATGTTTTTGTATTTTAGTTTATTTGATTTTGAATGGTTTCAAAATTAAGCAGCAAACTAAAAACCAGATATTTGATTTTATGCAAATTTTAAAAGATTTTATAAATAAGTCAAGATCGTCATTTATTAATTTGTCAGTTTTAGGGTACTGAATTATCGTTACCTAGTGAGTATTTGAAATCTGACAACCATCGCGATTTTGAAAAGATGTTAGTAATTAGCATTTATTTACTGCTTATGTGTACATTCATCCTTATATAATATACATCAGTTTTATAAAGACTAATGAGCAGGTCTTCTGGGAAGCAGTCCTAGAGCAAAGCTAGTTTTTTTGTCATTTAAGCCAAAAATTTAAAATAATGATTATAGTGATTCCGCCTTTACGCTACAACATCGTTCCTTATGGTCAAGAGAAAAAGGCAGTTTACTTAAAATCGATGAATCTCAAGCTGCTCCATCTTCTTATGAATTTAATCAAGATGAAATATGTTCTCAAGCTTTATTAGAAAGTGGTTATGGAATAAGTGAGTTAAAAGAAGCGGAAATTCGTCGTGCCAGATGTCCTCGTGCTGGAATACAGCCAGAAATATTTACTCCGCAGCAAATATTCCAAAAATCTAGTTCAGAGAAGCGAAAGCAGAAGTATGGATGACTTGGAATTGTTTTATCTTGTTTTAAGAAAATTGATTTCATTTATATTATTTCTTAATTTGAATCCTGTGTATCACTGGTTGTAAATAATTTGCATCTGCTGATTGCAGTAGCTGTTGTCTTATAAGTTTTTATTTAATTACTTACATTTTTTCATTATTTTTGTATTTGTGCTATTTCTAGGAAATCGTCAAAAAAAAGTGTTGTCTTCATTTTGTGCTGAAACTAAATGATTTACATTTTACAGAAGTCGAAGACGTGGAAAAGGTTTGCGTGCAGAATCTATTTTAACTCACTTATATCAACCCGAAGATGTGTACGAATTCCGCAGTAGCCCAGATTCCGATATAAATATAAATGTTAGCATTTGCTTATAATCTGTATAAGTCAGGTGTTTAATTTTAATTTAAAATAAGAATTTGATTTTATTGAATTTGAATGCATGTGTAAGGTTTGCATGTTACTACTGGTGCAACACTTATTTTATCTCATTTTGCATGAATATGAATGAGCCTGCACGTATGAAGTTATTTGTGTGAGTTTTCTTTGACGCGAAAGCAAATTTATCTTGTTTGATTAAGGAGAATAAATTATTATGTGAAGGAATTAAATAAATGCATTTTTGCTTGTTTGATGAAAAAGTGAATTAAATAAAACGAAATCGATTTAAAAGTAAATGAAATGGTATTTATTATTGATAGTAAAATAAAACTGAATTACTAATAATACATTATTGTGTTTAAGAGTAGCGCGGTACATAATATGGCCTTTGGTCATTTGTATATGAGAAGAGTGAGAGCAGAATATAAATTTGCATAATATTATAAGAGTGCGCATGTTGTTGGGGAAGAGAGAAGTAGAAAGGGGACAGTTGAAGGAATTAATGTGCTAGATTGTTCGCATTAAAGAGTGACCTCCGCAGTGCCTTTCAAGAGCTTTTATTATTGCAATTAACTATCATTCATCAATCGTTCAAATTACATTTGAGCACATAAATAAGTCAGCACAATACAAATTTTGGCAGTTTTTATTTATCACAAATGCAGCCATTTCATTCAGTGAATTATATAGTCTTTTTGAATTTTTGTTTTTTAAATTGCTATTTTTAAGTTTTTTGAACGTCTTCTAAAGAAAAAATTCATGCATCGAGATACAGATTGTTAGCAGCTTTATTTTTGTGGTCAGTATCATGCAGATTGATCAAAAATTGTGATGCTTGCATGATAAGAGTAAACTACTACAAATATGAATTTGAGCACATTTCATATTTTTAATCAACCAGCACATGCTGTACTTTGTTTGAATTATGTCGGTAGCTAATAGTTTGCTAGGCTATTTTTGGTAGCGCTGGCATGAGCGAATTAAAGAGGTAGAAAAAATGTAGAAATGTATATTAACTATCGATTGGTTGATTTGGTTGATTGATTGATTGATTGATTTGTTGATAAGAGCAATGATAAAATAAATAGCTTGCGTGATGAGTGTGTTAGGCAAGGGGAGAAAGAATTGAAATGAGGAGGTGTTGTGATTTGAAAGTGGTTTTGCGTAGGACAAACATTAGTATGGCCATTATTATTCACTACTACTCCAGCATTTGTATGCTTAGTATTTTCATCAGTTCATATCTTGTTTATTTGAGATGGTTTTAGCTTTAGTTAATAACCAAATAATGATGTAATCATTTAAATATTGACAAAAAATTATTTTGCATATATTCACTATGATTATCAGGCATTATATACTTACTTGTTGCTGCTATTAAAAAAGTCTTCTAGAAGGCATTTTAAAATATGACTGTTTGCAGAAATTTGCTACATTGCTATAGTATAATAATACAAGTGAGTGTAGTAATTTATTTCCAGTGGCATAGATTTTTATCATAATAACAGTAATATTTATTGAAGAAAACAAGCTCTGCTTTCGATATGGAACGAGAATTGAGTGAATCACCTAGTTCGAAAAGGCCACGATTGAATCAGACTACACCAGTTGCTACTACTTCTCTTATCTCATCTGCTATTGCATCTCAGCAACAATTAAATAGTTTGTTTTGTTTTATTTTGTCATATTATTTTTGTCAAGCAAAATAATTTTTGCAGTCTTATATACTCATTTATTTCTGTAATAATTTTTTGATTTTGTCGGTGTGCCTGTTCAAGAAAATGTCTCTGTGCTTGAAAAAGAAGAAGCATTAGATGTATCAAAAGTTCCTGAAATTATGGATGAGAAAAGTGACATTACAGTAAGCCGTAAGGTGAATTTTGTAAATTTTCATTGAATGCATTTCTTGTAAATACAGCTTTCTATGTAGCATAGATTTGAAGTTTGCAATAATGAATGTGTTATGATGTCATCGTTTGGAATTTGAAATTTGAGTACACAAAATTACGAAATTATAAGCATATATCAAAAATTGATGACTTGTATATTCAGGAAATAATTACTGCATAAGAATTTCGTTAAGTGCGTCATTAAAAGCTGCTTTATAATGTTTCGTTAATTGTTGTACAGCTTTTAATGATGCATTGAAGTAAATTTTATGCAGTAGAAAATTTTTCATCCTAACTTTTTTGGTTTTTCGAAAGTATTTATTCTGTGTAATTTTTTATTATTATTTCTTCGTCATTAATTGATCATCCTTCATTCTACCATTGATTCATTCTGGAAAACTATGAAATTTTTGGTTAAGAACCATTGCACAGTATTTCACATAAAATATATAATATACATCGGAATGCTTTAAATTATTCATCTTGTAAATCTTTTGTTTAAGGTGCCCCCTCTACGGATATCATTACCCCGTACACCTAGCGAAGATGGTGCAGCGATATCAAACTTTATAGATGACGGAACGTCCGCTACAAGTGTTGGACGACGAAATTCAAGAAATACTAAAAATCCTATTCGAAGACATCAAAGTCCTGATCAAAGCAGCAGTGCTAATGCTTGTGACGAAAGTGTACAACGAGTTACGAGGTTTAGATTTTTTCAGAACTTGTAATTGTGCTGCAGAAAATGAATGCTACAAATGAAGACTTAATAATAATTTTCTGTATGAAAAGTGTAATATTAATGCAACAAACTGTTTTTGAAAAATTTTATCGAGAAGACTTGTTAGAGATTTGTAGAAGCAAACTTAAACAGTTTGGGCGACAACTTCGCGATCCTTCAATAATTAGTTGCGAATTGTCTGCAAAGAAAAAATCTAGTGGTTGGCGACGTGGATCTACTAGTACTGCTTCACTTATGCCAATGGCTTCTGTAGGATTACCTGATGAGCATTCAACCTCGATGGTAGAAGCTATTGATAGAGCTGAAAGTACATTTTTTTTAATTGTAAATTTTTTAAGATGGGATTTTGCGTTTGTTTTTTACCATTTATCTGACTAAGAAAGTATTATTTTTGTATTGATTAAGCTGTATCATTTAGTGTGAAAATAAACTAAAAGAAATTGCAGCAGAAGACAGCTCACATATAGAGCCAGTTGCGCAAAAAGAAGATGAAAACACGTTATTAGCTTTGTCTCTCATGAAGCAGAATGCATATGAAGGCTTTCGGAGCTTCCGTGCAGTAGTATACTTTGCAGTTCTCATTTTAAAAACTTTGTATTGCTATTGATGTTCTTTCATTAATAATCATCACACATATAGCGTGCATAAATCATTTAAGATTGAAGAGCGCTGGGCTAAAGATGCTACCAAAGAAACTCCTATTCCGGAACATCCACCTAATTATGAAAATTATATGATTGTGCGAGGAAATTATACGTCAGCAAGTAATATTGAGACGTTACCTTTTCAAGAAGTAGGTTTCTCAGAGATCTTAAGATTTCATTGAAACCTTTTAATCCTGAGACGGTGTATTTGTAATTCTTTTTTTTTCCATTACAGAAGAATACATTTTTATAAAAAATAATTCCTGTATCTGGAACATCGATTTTCAGAAAACAGATAATGAATTTTTGGAAAAGTTAACTGCGAAACTTCGCACTCTTTATTTAGAACAACAAGAAAAAAGGAAAAATATGCAAATTTACCATCAGGTATGAATATCATTTTATCTATTCGAAATACTAATTTGTTTGCTTTATTGGCATATTTGTTTTGAAAATTTTTGAAGGTTGAACGAGAACGATTACAAATGCAAGCAGAAAGTGAAGCACTTCGTATGCTTGCGAGAAAAGCTAATGAAGGTTACGAATCTTTTTCAGCAAGTAAGTGTATGTAATAATGTTTTTTTCTTATGATGTTTCACTGTAAAATTTTTGCTGCAAGAACTAGGGAATTTTCGATAGAATTTAGGTTTGTTAATGTTGATTTAAAATTTTTTAATATAAATGAATGGTTTTGCACAGTGAGAATGATCCGTGAGACGAACTTATTCAATACGGGGTTTCTGGAGGTGAAGCCAAAACAGTTGCCAATCATGGAAGTTTCGGAGGTCAAAGAAAAATTTAGTAAACTCGCAAACTCAATGCACATCAGACAAAAAATGGAAGCAGATGCTTTGTTTGCAGAACAGGTATTTTTTTAAAATCTTTACATAATTTTTTTGGTTCCTAAAACCATCATTCATAATTTATTATGTATTCAAAATTTATAGCTGTTCACATGGAATGCAGCCATTCAGAGAAGTGAGGATTCAACACTTGTAAGTTTGAAGAATGTTGTACCTCGTGTTCCAGTTGTTCCATTGATTCTGAATTTATAGTTTTCATGTTGTTCGTGACTCGATATGTTTGATTATTTTTTCAATATATATATGTATAGTTTTCTTTGTAGAACCTCTAGATATTGAAACGGGGCTTTTGGCTGAAAAATGCATCAAATTAAATGTTGTCGAACTGATGTCCTGAGCTGTAAAAAAAGTTTGTGGTGCTGCTGTGTAATGATCACAGCACAACCTTTAATGTTTCGTTTTTATGAAATCTAAATATTTCTTGAATTGGTGTTTCGCTTTTTTTATAGAAATTAATTATGATGTGGTTCTTTTGATTTTAGGGATATCATTAATGATTTATTTTTGTTTTCAAATTGTAAAGAGTGTTTCTACATTTATTGTGCATTGTTTTGTTGAAATAAAATTATTTTCTTTAAATTATGCTGGAGTAGTAATTACTGATTTAAGCTTGTTTTAAGAGAATTACTCTATGCATAGACATTTGCAAAAGTTTCATCTTAAAATTCCTGGAGGCAATGATACTTCTTAAAGACCACGTAGAAGATCTTAAATCTAAAGTAGCATGTTCAAGTTTCAAACCTTGTGATGAATAATTTGCATGTTTTTAAGGAATAACCGATCTGTAATTAGTAATATTTGGTTTGTAAAAGGAAGCAAGAGTGGAAGTAGTTACTGTATAAAGCATGCAAAAAGTACAACCGCCAAAGTTTACCTTACTTAGCTATGCCAAGATGATATTGCATGCTTATAAGTACCCTCATCGAGCAGTTGTCGGTTTACTTATTGGCAAGAGCAAAGTGAGTACTTTCATATATAGAATTCTATGAAGTTTTTACGTTTTTGGATTTTGTAGAATGCCATTTTTATTGGGAGTCTTTTATAAAGTGTAGAATTAGCATATGTCAGTTAATGAATTAATGACTTCATTAAGATGTGAGAGAAATATTGAATTTGGATTATTTTGTACTGTCAGAGTTTTTTTGAATATTTTTACGTTTTTTCAGAATAGTAACGAAATCATTTGCACAGATTCTTTACCCGTATTACACGAAAGTGCTTCATTAAGTATGGCTTTAGAAGCAGCTTTAATATTTACTGACAATTACTGCAGCAAGCATGATAGTACTATCGCAGGATTGTATTTTTGTAATGAATCTATTTCGGATAGCAAGTAAACTTTATATTTTTTTATCTTATCGCAATTTACATACACAGTAATTGGTTTGTAATTGATGGCGATAACTTGTTACATTTGTTGCTCAAATAATTTTCAGTCTTGATCAGTTTGCAGTGCGAATAGCAGAAAAAATTGTCTCAAATTATCCAAATGCATTTCTTGTTCAAGTAATTTTTTTTTTTTTTGGAAATTTTTATAGAGAATGCTAAAATTAAAAAATAGAATGACTGCTTTGTAATATGACTCTTAACTAGAAAACCTTTTGATTTTGAATGTGTCTTTTGGTACTAAGTTATTAATGTATATACTAAAATTACGAGTTAAATTTTCAAACGGTATGAAAATTGCTCAATGCCTATTACTTGTTCTTGGCTACTTTTTTTTAATTTCAGAGTCCAGTCGATAAATTCTCTAAAATAAACAGCTAACTTTTGAAAAGTTATAAATTCTACTCATTCCAAATGTTTTATTTCTAGGATCTGATTTGTGCATGAAATTTTCAAGTCATGTATGTCAGTTTTGTTTTTCAGATTGACAATTCTCTGCTAGGCATAGAATCATTAGAACCGGCTATTCGAGTTTATGTGCTGGACAACAAATCTTGGAAAACAAAAAAGTATCCTTTTTTTCTTGAAATATGGTAATTATGTATAATTTTTTTAAATAGCAAGGAAGAAAATTTGTTCGTTTCCGAAAATAAGTTATTAAGTATTAACTTTGTAAGGATTTTTCCTCATGATAACTAAGTAAGGATAACTTTTTTTGAATTCATACTTATGTCTGTTGATAAGCATTGATTGATAAGATATGTTTAGATTCACAGTACTAAACGAAGAATCAGTGCTATCTACAGTTTCTAACGCTGTCCAGACAAAATTATATTTGGAAATAATGGATTTTGAGAATCATTTAGATAATCCTTCTAATGATTACTGGAACACAGCTTTAAATAAAAAGATCGAACGTTTGTCACGTGGAAGTACAATTCGTTGATTCATTTGTATTCTTTGTTTTGTGCTTTTTTTTGTTACTATTCCTCATGATAACTTTGTAGTAATAAATTCATGATATATGTTGTTGGGTAAAAAGCTATCGGGACTTAGTGCTAAAAGATTTTTTATCCGACAGGCATTTTAAATAATTATATTTTATTTACACTAACCCTATAGTCTGGTTTTTATGTCAAGAATTTTGACAAAAACGTGAAAAAAAATTGAAGTTTTATTATTACTGCCACTCATTGTTCATTATTGAATTACACTATCTATTAATATAATTAGCAAACAGTCTTATTACAATAACTGTTAGTATGATTCAGTATGATTTAAATCTGCCAAGCCTTAAATGCAATAGTATGTGGAAACGAATATAAGACGTATGAAGGAAAGCATTTGAGGTCAATGTAAAAAATCAGTTCTTGTTACGTTGAAGAACCACATCTGCGCATTGAATGTTTAGCACAATTTTTGCGTTCAGATCATTACTTGTTGGTCTAAGTTTTCAGAAGTGAAATGGCTTAAGAAAGAATTCTCTGAAGCAAATTTTCATTAACTTATGATAAAGAGAGACAAACAAGTAACACGAGTGCGAACGATAAAAAGTGAAACTGAAATACTATAATTTGTATTGTAAATCATTAAAATATGATCGTTTTTAGAATGTGAATTAGTGCACTTATTTTGCTGTGCTGCGGTCGGTTTATTCTCCAAAATCTGCATTCATCCATAAAAATAATTAAATTTATCTAAAAATATTCATATTTCGAATAGTATAGCACATTAGGCTCTACATTTAAAGAATGCTGATAAATGTACTACGTAAACCAAAGCTACGAGCACTTAAGAAATTGCGAGAATTTCAGTTTATTGCAGAAAATTGTCGAAGATCATATAATGGAGAAAGACTTCTTGTAGATACACGTACGTTTCATCAGTAATAACTCTCAAAATTAATCATTATTATTAAGAGATTAGACTAAAGTTAGCATTTGTAATTTTTTGCTAAATTATCTTTTATTTTTTAAATAAATTGTTGAAACAAAAATTATCAAAATTTTAATTGTAGGCAAAAAGTTTTGGACAAAATGTGGCAGATTTTTTCCATTACTTTATCCAGATCCAAAACCAACTCCACGTAATGCGTATGAACGAGTGTTTACATATGGCACAAGGTCATCAATTCATTAATTTTTTTTACGTTTAACATTTAAAATCCGTATTACTAATTGTTATTATTTTTATTTAGAGAAAATGATGTGTCACGGATTGTGCTTAGTTTTCTTACTTGCGAATTTGTGGGCTTATTATTCTTCATTTCAATTGCTTTGAAATATTCTGCTTTTCCTAGTCGGTAATTACTTTTGCTTAAATATTATCTATTTGAATATTTTTGCTTAATATTTTTTTAAAAGCAATATTTGCACTGATTTTAGTTTAATTTCAGGACAAAACAGATCACTAAATAAAAATCAAAAGAGTAATTATTAGCTTGTATTTAAAATGAAAAATAAGTACAGAGTATTTAGCAAAAGCCTTATGAATAATTTAAATTTGATTTATACATAAAAATATTTACTCAATTTAAAAGACTATTTTCCTAACTTATTTTTACAAACTTTGAAAATCTCAAATTTATTCTCAGAGTATATTTTTGAAACAGTATCAATTTAATATTTATATTTCAGATTAGGTGTCTATGTAGGCATAGCTGTACAATGTGTTTTGGGTCTAATGATACCATTTCCATCTCTTCGAGCTACCATTTTAATTGCAAGTACTAAATTATCAACTAATCGACTTCGTTCTATTATCATTATGTTCATCATATCATGGTCTTTTCAGGTAATACTTTTTTAGTCTCTTTGTACAAGTTATCACAAAAATAATAAACTAAAAATACTACTACTACTAATAATAATGATATATACAATAATAATAATAATATTATTATTAAGATAATTTCAGCATTTTATAGTCATATTATTAATCTTTTTTTTTCATTTTGAACGATTCGATTAATCCAGAAAAATTGCATTTATCACTTTTATCAATTATGATAACATTTTTTGATTATGTTGCATGAATAGCATTATATCAATACCAGTGCTAACAGTTAAAAGATTTAACCAGCAATCTAGTGTGTACTATAAGAGAATAAATTTTATTAATATAAGAAGAAATATATTATTTGATTTACAGAAAACTTTGCTAATGTTAGCAAAACAGTGTAAGATCTATTTTTTGTTTTATAATCTACCTCAGCACTAATTACACTTTCTGATTTATGAAAGTCGTGATATTTAATACATGAACAAATAATTTGAAATCTGTTACAACCTGAATTAATTAATGATTTTGGGATTTGTACAGGTGTCAGCAATGAATACAACAAAGAACTTGGAGCTCCTTGCTGAATCTGTTGCTTGCGTACGTGATTCTGCAATTAGAGTTGGAAATGAGCTTGTTGCTGAATCTAATATGCAAAATAACAAGGTTGTTTGTTTTCTATTGCTTTTGTGTCCTAATTTTTAAAGAGTATCACAATCTTATTGTGCAAGAAAATATTTTGTGAGAATTCGAAACTAATCTATGAAATTTTTACAGTTTTCAATGCCAAAATTGAAGGAGTTCGGCCATTTCTTTATACAAAATGTGAGAAAATTTCGGAATACAGTACGCAAATTACAAGACGTTGTTACCAAGTATGTACAAAAATTTTTAATTATATTTTACTTACTTTGCAATCAATTACTTAAGTACTTTAATCTTATTAACAAATTTTATTCAGATTTGGGAAACAAACTAAAGATTTTATGGTACAGTTGCTTTCAGTCAAGGATTTTTGCCATCGGTTTTTTATTGGTCCTTATTATTATGTAAGTCATTTATTTCAAATTACCACAGAAAATGAAAGCAAAAAAAGTAATAGTTATTGTGGTATGTAGTAAATAGTTGAAGTAATAATTATTATGTTATATTTTTCAGTGCCTTCGAGTATTTGACGATGCAGCTCAGTTCTGTGATCGCTTAACTATTTATCGTGGATTCTCAGGCTGTAAATTTATTAAAGATATGAAATCGGTTAGCTAACTTTTTCAATGCAATTACCAAAGTTTAAAGTAAATTTTACAGGAAATAATAATAATTTATTCCAAGTTTGTGGTAGGAATTATTCAAAAAATGATTAAGTTATATGTCGCGCACCAAAAAGCTTGTTAAAATGCTACAAATAATTTAGATTTTCAAAATATTCAATTTAATGATTAATGCTAGAATGCACAGAAACACTCGAAGCACTGGAAGCATAGATTAATTCAGATTTGTGAGGTAGCAAGATTCAATGAAATGGTCTGCATGATGCCAGGCAAAATGAAAGAAGGCTTGAGCTCTGGCGTTCTCACATTGGCAAAAGATAAAATGAAAAATACTTTAAATAATGTTTTGGATGGATACAATATGAGTTTTTTCATAGTTCGTTATTATTACGCATTTTTATGTAATTTTATGAGTAAACAATCAGATGAATACTTTTATCGTCAATTATAGCAAAATATTATTAATGGAAATTTTTGATTTAGTCATTAATTTTTGTACGTAATCAGTTGTAGAAGGTTGTACTGTCCTAGTATAGCATGATAGCTTCTGAATATGAAAATATATATTGTACAGAAAATTATATATTGTTTATATAATGTTTTACTATAAGTGAAGATATATAGCATGCTTTAGATTACTGTGAGTATAATTAAAGAGTAATACCTTAACTGCGCATTATTTTTTTGATAAAAAAAACTGAAAATGCTAAAAAATGATAGTTTATTTAAATAGAAAGAAGCTAAAGCAGCGAAAAAAACCTGGGAAGAAATTGGCATTTCCATAAATCATACACTGGAACAGAATCAGACTCAGTCAGTGCAATTACAGAAAATGAGGTACAGAATTTATAATATATATTTGGATGCATAATAATTTTATTTATATTCATGAAACATTTTTTATTAGTTTTTAAATAAATATTTTTGTTTGCATTTATAATTTTGATTACATTTAGAGAAGAATTGCAACTGGTTTTGAACAAATTCGAAATTTTTGTCGATATTTTATCTCAAATAATTAAATTAATCATTTCCAATCTGATTGTTCTGACATTGCTAACGGTAACTTCACAAGAATTCTGTAATCTGACATAGTTTTGAGATATATTTAAATGATATCTTTTTTAAATAGTTTGCATTATCAAATTAAACACTCTGCGTTATTATTGAATATTCATTACATTAATAGTACTTAAAATATCAATACTTAATTAATTTATTATACTTAATTTTTGCAATAAATGGCATCAAAATTTGTACGGATAAATGTTTTCCAAGTCTTTATTGTATACGATCAAATATAAACGTCATGAGGAAGCTGATAATGTTTATATAACAGAAGAATTTCGGAATATTGATATGATGAGAGAAGCTCAAGGACAGCCTTCTTTGCTTCCACTCCTCCCCTCTGAAAGACATGAAGTTAGTTTGATTCAAAGTGTAGCGCTTTATAGACTTACAAATAGAAATTAGAAGCAATGAATGACTGCTACATAAATAAATATGCACACTGTTGTTTTTAATTTGAAAAATAACATTTTTATTCAACAAATTGCGCTGAGGATAAACTATAAACACTGCTGTTAGTGGAATATCAGTGCTGAATTTGATGAATTACTTGGATAATTACAAAAGTCAAGCTTACAGTATTATTTACAAGTATTTATTACAGTATATTGAAGGATTCACATTGCATATGACAACAAAAGAAAAAGTAAAAATGTTATTTGCATTTGCAATTACACTTATTGGTGGTTTCTTGCCAGTTTTCCTTGTACTACTTGATATATTCACATATAAAATGCTCTACTTTACTTATTCGTTCTTACAGTCCAATACTACTCGTACAGAGAGATTGAATCATTACATTCTTAAAGTAAGTAAGAGATATTTTTTAGTAGTTTATGTGTTCAAAATATGGCTAAACAATCACATTTTCTGCAATAATCCTTAAAGAATATGTTACATATTTTTGTACTATTAATGTAGAATAACTGCATTATTTATTTCTACTAATAATTTTTAACTTTTTAGGTTTCTGGTGAAGGTTTTGTAGCGAAATTATTACAGCGTATTTTGGAATTATTTAATCCAATAACAAAAAAAGAATATAGTGATGATAGCTGGCGTCAGTGCTTTATGGAGCCAAATCCACCTGATCTACAATTAATACGGCTTATGTTATTTCTGTATTTTATTGCTATTGTACTGTGTATTGTTCAGGTAACAACTATGCAAATTGAACAAGAATTTTGATACGATATTAATCTTGTAGAATGATCGACATTTGACTTAATATAAATATTGTAGAGCAAGTTTCTTTATATTGCATTAATCTTATACAATAATAGACATTAGTTCTTATTTTGAGCAGTTTGATTTGATTTAGATTATTGTGAGCTGATCAATAAGATTTAAAATTTTCTATACTCGAATTACTTTGATTGTTACCATTTGATCATACTTAAATGGAAGTGCACATTCTCTCATATATTCATTTCTGACTAGTTTATCTATAGTATGTGAACAAATAGTAAATTTCATTGTTTGCTAGAAATAGTAATATTTATTTTCTATAATGGAAATGATAAATAGAAATGCTAAAAGAACATCAAGTGATAATCAAATTTTTATCATTTTGAAAATTTATGCCGCGAATTATTAAATTAATCATTAATTAAATTGTATTTGTTTGAGTTTATGTCAATACAGTTCTAAATTAGCGCATTAGCTAAGTATAAGTATTAATTGTACATTTTAAGACTTTCAGCAAGGCTATTTACAATCGTAGCAAATATTAATGAATTTTGAAAATTATTAGATTATTTATCTCTTTAGTTATAAAAATTCTGAAAGTATAATCAGTAATTAATAAAGTATAATAAATATTAACTCTGAATGACAAGTAATTAAACTGATGTGTGATATATTTACAATACTTTATTCACTAACAAGTGTACTTTTTATATTTTATTTAGATATATATTGCGAGATTTCGTCGACTAATTGCGCAGCATTACTGGCCTGAACGAACAATGCCACGTGCATTATGGTTGTATAACAAAATTCTTGAAGGTCGAAAAAATATACTATCACAAATGTTGAGAGCTGCTAAGGAAAAAGTATGCTTACTTTGAATTTTACCCATGCTAAAATGTTCGCAAACGATATAATAATTTATTTAAGCAGTTAAGAGAAGAATTAGCAGAAGATGAGCTCAACGGACGTGGACAGCTTGTAACTCGTGGCTTGTCTATACTTGGTGCTGAACAATATAAATGCACGAGATGCTTTAAGCCAGATCTTAGAGTTACTGATGCAAGGTAACAGTTTTGTAAATATATCGCTAGAAAAAACATTAGAGTAAACTTTTATAAGCTCAATACTTATGCTTTCAATATATCTCAAAATGCAGAAAGATGCAAAAGTTAAGAAGAAATTATTTATAATAAAGTAGAAATCATAAGAGAAAATCATGATAACAGGAAATCGTAATAAAGTTAGAACGCTTTCTTTAGCAGCTTTTAATGTTTTATGAGTAAGTTTAAAACTACCAATGATTTTAGCCATATACTAACTTTTTTCGGACCTTATATGAGTGGTTTGAAAAAGATTTAACTTTTCAATGTAAAAATTAGGTGAAAATTAAGAATATGCATATCTAGAATATTAAACACAAAAAAAAATTTTTGAAAATAGTGGAGAAAATTGTATCTCTAATGTAAAACACTGTAATAAGCTAAAATTATAGTAATGCAAGAGTGTGTCCTAACTGTAACAGTTTATACTGTACTGATTGCTATGCTGTCAGACAGAGGTGCCTAAATTGTGGTGCAAGTTTACAGGTAAATGTCAAGCATTATCTGGGAAAGTAATAAAAGGAATCAAAAAATATTTCGTATTATTTCTGTAATTATACACGCTAATTGTTTCATCAAAATATGAATTGTTAATGATGATAATTAGAACAATCTTAGCGTAATTCAATTTTTAAATCATTTTATTTTACGTAATTTAAATTTAAAATTATTTGAATATTTTACTTAATTTTTATTATGGCTTTGTCTATTCTGAAGAATTATTTGTATTAAAATTTGTTTGTATCAGTGATAGACAACTGGCAAAGTTAGATTTTACCATAAGTATAATTGGTCTTTTAATATATATTAATTATTACAGGCAATTTTTTAGGTTATATCAAATAACTTTTAAATTTGTTTTTTTATACAGTGAAACTATATTTAAGGCAGTATTGAAAGAAGTAGATTTTTACGTAGATAGTAGTTGTGAAGAAGAAGAAGTTTCAGAAGAAACAGGTACAGACTAGACACAGACTATTTTTACTTCAGAATTTCTACTTTGGTAAAGTAAACATAAACAATTTATACTTTGGTTATTACTTTATGAACTCTTTTTTTATAGTCGATAATCAGTAATAGAATATAAACTCATCGACACGAATAATATTACGATGTTCAGAATTATTAGCATTGTTACGAATAAATGTTTCATTTCCATTAATGTCAATAACTTTCTACTATTATAGGTGAGGCAGACTCTTCTGACTATGAATCATTATCAAAAACAGGCAGTGTACAAGTAATGTACAAACGGTATTAAACAAAATTCACGTGGTGAAATCACGTTTACGTGAAATTATTACTTAATTTATTTATTTGTTTTTCAAATTATTCAAGTGTTAATAGATGAAACAACTGTAAATTATGGAGAAAAAATAGTGAAGTCAGAAAAAAAAATAAAATAATGCTGTTAAAAAAAATTAACTCTCAAAATATGTTCATAAACGGATCTGTTAAATAATTCAATATGCATTTTTTTTGATAATTTTGTCAATGCAAAGGTAGGCAGGCATTCGTCATGAAAAAAGTAAAAAAACTACTGCAAAGATTTGATGGATAAAAATACGATCGGAACAACTGGTAAATTTTGTTTAAATTATGATAAACAGGAAATATAGTAGTATGCATAAAAAGTTAGAGCAATTTAAAAAAAAGAGATTTATACTTTTTTTTTAATCTCATTGTGATGCTGAATTTTTCCAGATGAAAAAATAATTCTGACTATGTAATCAACAGTTTACGAACAATATTTAATAGTTAAATTTTTAAAAAGTGTTAAAGAAATTAAGGGAATTATGCATTAATCATACGTTATTTGTGTATAGCATTGAAGTGATTACTTGCTTACAATTGATATATATAATTGTAATAACTTACTTTTCTCAGAAAATATTTTTATAAGAATATCGTAATACATGTATGTCAATGTTAGGGAAGGTACAAGTATAATTTTTATTAACAGTGAAAATTTTGATTAAATTTTAATAAATAAAACTACCAATGAGGATATTGGTAAACTTTAAAGAAAAGAATCGTAATTTAATGTTAATACGAGTTAATTCATTTTTGATTTCAAACAGAATTAGTCTGTAAACTTCAATTTAATTTGTTCATTTTTGTTATTGCTTATTTGTGACTGATTTAAAAAATTCAGAAAACAGTACATTTTGGTAAATTTTGCGCAGTGCTTTTTTACTAATTCTTTTTGTATTACAAACGAATAAAATTTGTTAATTCATTCCTTTAAAATGCATTTCAGTATTTGATTTATTTGCTTGTTATAATAAGTATTCAATCGTATATCTGTCCTGTCATCAAAATACAAACAATATAGAGCTATGAATAATGTATTTATGACTTTTAAATACATTCACTTATTATGCATCTATTTGTATATATTTAGCTGCACGTATATGTAAAAGAATGAGACAATAAAAAGTAAAAATGCAAAAGGATTAAAAAAATGATTACGTGTATATTGCACGTAAATTGTGTGCGTCGTACGTACAAGTTTATACTTTTGTTTGTTTACGTTTATCTACACTTTCGATATTAGTCAGAAAGGAAAAGGCTATAGTGTTGCTGTCTCACTGCATTAGTATTTCGATTTTCATTTATTTTTTGCAAAATCAAAAGTGACTTGATAAGGAGTTAAAAATTTTTCATAATTAAATTTACTGTATTGACAACTTTTAATAAGGCATTCGTTGATTGTATATATTCATAAACTGTAAAATTTTTTACAAAAATGTAAATAACGAAAACTGCATAATTTTATAAGTCAAAAGTGAAAATTTTTTAAATAACAAAAATTACAAATTTAAATTATCATCAAATATAGTATTTTAATAACATTTTAAAGTCTAACTTTTTTTCTTCAATTGTCAATTAGATTAAGTTCATTTTACTGTATGCATTAAAAATAATTTGACTATTGTTTGCCTCTCTTTTTAAATGCTTATTTTATCTTGATCAAATTAATACAATTACTAATAAATTAAGTATCCAAAAAAAAAAAGATAGCAAATTAGTAAGATACCAAAAAGTATAAAACATTCAATTCAAAATGAACAATTAAAAATGAAAAAAAAAATGATAGAATAGTGCATGTAAGTAATACATAAATTAAATCGGGCACCGTAACTAGCACAACATTGAACACTAATTACGCTCAAATCTTTTCATGATTAGTTTTGATAAAATTAGTGTAAAATTAATCCAGTTTTGCCCTAAACTTACCCTTCCATTTTTGTCATAAATCTGTTTAATTGTATTATATTTCAATTTAATATGATTCTTTCATTACTACTTCTTATATTAAAAATATACAAAAATTAAATTACTGCTATACTTTTTATTTTTTTGCTCTTTTTACATTTTTATCAGCACGAAATTTTGTATTCATCATACTTCTTCTTCCATTGTCATGCATTGATATTTGTGATATTTATGAAGATAACTTGCTTCATAATCACATTCATTATGCTAATGCTTAATTTTAAGCAAAGCACACTATTTGTAGTACTATAAAATGACAAGCGAAAGTATACTAGACATAAATTTGAAAAAAATTCAATTTAATCATTTGGTTTCAAGAAAAAAATTTGTCTATTACTTTGTTTTCGCATTCTGAAATTAATTTTTTCTCGCTATAAAGCAAAAAATAACAGAAGAAAACAATAAATTATAAAATAAACTTCATAATTTATGCTTTCTTTTTAAAATAATTGGAAAAAAAAAGACTTCAACGTATCAAAAACAAATTAAAATTAAAAAATAATAAATTATTTAAAGCTATTTATTTGATTTATTAATTTATCTGTTAATTTGTGCAATTGTATGTATGCATTTGAGGGCACGACATTTATTCAATTCAACAATTTGTATTTGAAGGATTTTAAAAAAGGTAAAAAATACTTCAAATACTTATTAGGATATTAGTGAATAAATAATAATAGAATTCTATTACTTACTTAATCATTTCATCTTTGACACTTCAGTGTAAGTATGTGATTTGTTAAGAAACACTCACTCACTCTGTTACAAAAAATATTAAAATTGCTTTTCTTTAATAATTTAAAATAAGTAAGTTTTTCTCTTCGTTTTTTTCTTCTTCGCACCAAAAATTAAAGAAGAAAAGCCATAGTATAAAGTTTTATCAGTTTCTCTATTAATTCATTCAATCATTTATTCATTCAATCAATTATTTATTAGTAAACAAATTAATTAATTAGCGTAATTAATTCATCCAACATAGCTTAATTTTTTGATAGTAATTGAAAAAATGTTAAAGGTAAAATAATAAAAAGTCATTGCATACATATTACTTTTCTCAAAATGTTTCATAATTAAATTTAGTAATGAAATATTATAATTAATTTTATAATAATTCAAAAGGATATAATTTCAAATTGTTACTATGTGTGAGTAAAGCATTTCATGGAAAATTCTTTTCATTCTGAAATTATTCAATTACATTTTTTATTTTCTCTCAAATTAATAATAAATTTTTCTAAAACATATTTGTATTTTAAAATAATTTCAAGTTTTTTTTTCCATCTTGACCATATTTTTTTACCAGTAATCAAACAGTAAAACAATGTGTGAAAACGCTATCATTGGTTATCACTGATTTTATCCATTACCGTAATCAACCAAATTAAATAGTCTTTTGCAGTAAAACATACCATCTTAAGTCATAAAATTTTATAATTTTGGCTGAATATTATCGAAAAAAAGATATTATTTTCAAGTTAACGAAAAATTATTCATTATAAACCACTAAATTCTGCAACTTTAAATTAATTTTATTTCAAATATCTCGTAGTTGCATAATTTAATTCAACTGTCTAATACGGCTATCAAAGAAATTTGAAAATTGTATTTTCAAAAACAAATTACTAAAATAGTGTCTATAAAATTTTAAAATTGTCATAATTTAAGATATAAAAATTAACTTTGTATTATTGATTGCAAAATTTAAGAACTTTGAAAATGATAAAACTGATTTTATACTATTAATCAAATTTTTATCTCACAAAATGAATAATTTTTCAAAACAATTTTCTACACTAAAGCAGCAATTAACGAAAAAATACATTTTTATGGCAAAATAATAAGTTAAAAATTAAAAACTGGAACTTTTTTCAGAGTTGTAAAAAACTTTTATATTTTTGAGAGCAAATTGCATTTAAAAGTACTGCACTTTTAATTTTGAATAATTCGTATTTTTGAATTTAAAATTTGACGGAATATTATTTACAATAATTAAATTTTGTTTAATTGCTAATAAAAAATTTTTAATCTTTTTCAACTTTTTATAAATTTGCATGTTTAAATGTAATCTTTATAAATGCTTTCGATACATTTGAGATGACTTAATTTTGCATTAATTATTTCGTCGGACAGCAGTATCTTTCAATTCTATTATAATTTTTTTAACTGTTTACTATAGAAATTATTGTAAAAATTGCAAAATTGCCATTTAGAAATGGTAAAATTTGGAATGAAATGACAATGTTTGTAAGTAATTAAATGAAGTTATTGTGATGTGTGATTTTGAATTTATATATGTATGTATTTTTACATGTATGAATAAATGAATGAGTGAATGAATGAGTGAATGAATGAATGAATGAATGAATGAATGAGTGAGTGAATTGAATGAATGAATGAATGAATGAATGAATGAATGAATGAATTAGTGAATGGCATGTTAAAGGTGTACTTTTAGAGTAGATTGAAGTAAAAAACGAAAAAAATGGAGTCTTCATGATGCGTTGCTCAGTCATAGTGCGTGTCCTCGAAACACTTCCAATTTTATACCTTTCATATTGCCTAAAAACTAATTTTTTTCACTAAATATTTATTTATTCAGTGGTTGAGATAGAGATAATAGTATTGTGCTGTGCGCTGTTGAAGTAATTGATGGCTTTGTTTTGCAGATAGAAAGCAAGAGCAGTGAACGAAGAAAATTCAAACAGTTATGTACTTAATTTTTAACTTTTTTTTCTACTATTCTCAACATTTTTGTTCTGCTCAAAGCAATTTATAAATAACAAATTAAAATATCAAATTATCAAGTATGATATGATATGATATGATATGATACGATACGATAGATAATGTAGTAAATAAATAAGTATTCAAGTATATTAGTCTAATATATTCGAAAAATATTCATTGAAAAGTAGTGAAATAAAAAATTGTATATGTAACTGTAATTTTTGTTAAAAAATTACTTGACAAATTTTGATTTATGAGATAATTAATAACAAAAAATCAGGCTTTAATACAGTATTTAAGTGATTATGATTATAACTGTTATCTTTAAAATATTAATATCATTGAGTTGTACTACCTGTTTTTAAAAACATGTTTCAAAAACTTTCAGTGGATGAGTTTAACTTATCGAAATTAGTAAAAGTGTTAGTTAATTTCAAAGTAACGATTTAATATTTATATTTATTGAACAGAAAGATATAAATTGCATTTAAAGTTAGGTATAATTTAGAATCTAGTTAGGATTTGCCTGGTATGATCACAAAAAAAGTGAAATTGTCAAATAAAAGTCTTATTATTAAATATATTAAGGTATCAGTTATTAATTACTATTTAGCATATTATACTCATAAAATTGATGGCTCAGTAAAAAATATCAATTTTCTTAACAAAAAGCCAAAAAAACTATTAAAGTATCAAAAATGAATAACTTAGCAATTACAAGTAAGCTTAATGTTTTAAAATTTAATAAATCTGAATAAAAGCAAAGCATGGAATATATGAAAATTCGTTTAATTATATTTACACAACTAATCAGTGAAGATTAATATCTGCTTGCTTCTACTTGAAAACCAAACTCATGCTTTCTTCCTATTTCAGTAAATTAAAAAAGTTTCAAATCTTTCATTTTCTAATTTAAAATGAATCGACAAACTTTCGTTGCATTTCAAATATTTGCTGAAAGCTATTCAATACTTCTTTTTAATTGCTTTGAGTATGAATGCAAACAAATTAACTTTTCTTTGTTTCAATCAAATTCTATTTACAGTGACTTTTCATAAATTTGCATATTATCTGTGCATTTTTCAAATTCATAATCGTTTCTCGTACTAGAATAATCTTTTATCTGACTTTTAGTAATGCAAGTGTTTGTTCTTCTTTTCATATATTTCTGCACTATACTTAATTTTATGAATATTTATTTTAAAATTTAAAAATAGTATTTTTAAACAAATATTTAAAATGTTGTATACTAAGTATAGTGCAGAAATATTTGTATGTTTCATTAGATTTGTGATAGTTTTCATTACAAATATCATAAGATATCATAGATATAAAAATATTAAAATATATAAATATGAGAAATATCGCTTCCTTTTTTCTTTTTAAAATAACAATAATTTTTGTAATAATAAATATTTCAAAAAATAATAATCATTTCAAATATTATATTCAATTTTATATAATCAAAAATAGTTGTGTTATAAAGAACAAACATTTATGACACAAATGCGTCAATAGCCAGTAATCAATGGAACAGAATGGTACCGTATCACAAATGGCAAAAGTAGTCGTATTTATGCGCATTTAACATAATAGTAATGAACTTTTACCATAATCTCTACCTGTTCTCATTATCTTTCATAGTTTGAAAATTCAAAAAAAA